TGTGGTGTGTGTGGTTGGTGTGTGTGTGCGGTTGCGTGCGCGTGTGCGTGCGAATGAATAAGTGAATGTGTGCGTGTGTGAATGTGCGTGCGCGCGCGCGCTCCTCGGTTCGCGTCTGGCGCTGCAGACGGGCGAGCCTGCATTCGAGACGTTCGCGCACGCGGCAGTAGCCGCGGACTTCGGCGCGGAGGAGGCACGGGCCCCGCTGCAGGAGTTCGTCGACCAGGCGGTGGACGAGGAGCCGTTGCAGAAGCGGCTACACGTACTCCACGGCCGCCCCGAGCTAGCCACGCGCGGGAGGACGCCACGGCGAGTCTCTGGGCCGCGCGCGATCAGGACAGGCGCGAGGCCGCCCCCCCGCCAGGGGCCCGCACATTAGCAGGGGCCCGCCACGCGCGGAGGTGCCGCGCCGCGACCGAGGAGAGCCGTGGAAAGCTGGAGGCTCGAGAACGGGCTCGCTGGAGGCCTCGCTTGCCACGGCTGCTCGACGACAAAGAGGTGCCCTCGCTGGGGGCAGCGCGGCCCTTCATGGATCCGGAGCGGGCGTTGGATGGCATCGCAGTCCGCGCGCGCCTGAACGCAGTGAGCTCGCACGCGCGCGCGGGTCAGACGCTGCGCCGATGGCTCCTGCGCGCGCGCAGCGCCAACAGGTCGCGGCGAACGCGGAGACGCGCCTCGGCGCTGGCAATGGTCAAACGACGATGGCGGCCCGATTTGCCAGTGCGTTCATCGGGCCAGTGGAGCAGCAGGTCGCGGACGATGACCTCGCGAAGTACTTGCGCGGGGCGTCGTGGTTTCGCTTCGTCGAGGCATGCATGGGCAGTGCTGCGCTACGACGACCATGGCTGGCACCCACCTCAGCGTCTCGCCATCGCGGGAGGCGCTGGCAGCATCCCGCGAGCGTTACATTCGGGACCCGTCGATGGGGAGATGGACTTCCGCCCATCACAGGAGATCGCGGACTTCGAGATCGCGACGACGCTGGCCCGGAGGCGGTCCGCAGCCCCGCGGGTGCCTGCGCCGGCCACGGCGGGAGGGATCGCAGAGCCCCAAGGAAGGCGCCTGCTTCTGGGCGGAGCACTCGGAGCGAGCGACGACCTCATCGGCTTCGGGCTGCGGTGGAGACCCCGAAGAGCGAGCGCGATCACCCGGGCAGGTAGTCGCGAGGGGCGCGGGCACCTACGCGAGGGCGCACCGCGCCATCGCCCCCAGGCTCCAGCGGCCGCTCGCAGTGGCGCCGCGCGCGGGCAAGGCCTTCGTAGAGCTGGACGGGGCAGCGGCGCTCCCGGACATGGCGAACTGGCTTGTGTCGACGAATAACTGCACTGAGCTTGAGGCGGCGGACGTAGCGGCCAAGACCTACATAGGCTTCCGACGAGGCGCCAGACGGGCGCCCGCGGCGCCTGGGCGCGACGGGGGGACGGGAAGCCGTCGCCAGCGCTCGCAATGGCGACGCCAGAGGCCGCCGTCGTAGACGAGGAAGAAGAGGTCGACCCACCGACGGAAATCGCCACCCCCGCAAAAAATATGCGTCGTGGAGGAGCTGGAGGCAGAGCTCAACCGCGACGACGGCGACTGGGAGGACATCAAGTTCGGGGCGCAGCAGCCTTTTCGCCCGAGGACACGTGCCTCGAGGTTGGAGGCTGTCGCCGCTGGACTCGGTGCTTCGACGAGATCCTTGATCCAGCAGAGCACGGTCTGTCCGAGGTGCCGGCGCCACATCGCGGACCAGGCGGCGGTGGCGAGGGCTCGGGGGGGGGGCTCGTCGAGCTCCGCGAATTCCAGAGGCGCCGACGAGGTTGACCAGCAGACAGCAGCCCGCTGAGGACAGCGCCAGCAGCGGCTTGGCCCCGCGCGACCCTTCGGGACGGGACCCACGCCTGCGCGCCGGCGGGGCCACCGAAGCAGCCCGCCGAGGAGGGCGCCAACAGCGGCGGCGTTCCACGCGACCCTTCGGGGCGGGAGCTACGTCTCGGCGCGAGAGCTGGGGGGGGCAGCCTGCGGAGACGGCGCCAGCAGCGGCGGAGCCTTACGCGACCCTTCGGGGCGGGGGCCGCGCCGCGCACTGACCAAAGCAGGCGACCGCCCACGGCCTGCGCCAGGCTCGGTTCGCGGGAGTCCGCACGCGGCCGAAAATCCGCCAGCGCGCCTCCGGGGTCGCCCCGGCCCCCGCCCGCCGGCGGACACCCCCCGCAGCGAAGGCGCCCGCCCCGCCCGCGGCACCCCCGTTCCGCCGCGGGCGGGGGGGGGGCCCAGACCAGGAAGGGCGCCCTCCTCGCCAGGGTGGGCCCTAAGCGAGGCGAGCGCGGCTTCGGAACCGCGCAGCACTTCCGCTTTTTGCTCGGTCGGGCATGCGGGATCGACGCACAATCTGGAACCGTTTTGCTAAGCCACCTCGCGCGGTCAGGGCCGGGGCCCGCCTGGTCTCCAGCGGCCCGCCCTCGGCGTCGCCAGCGCGAACTGCGATCGAGGGGCGGCTGGACAGCACGCAGCCGCAGAA